TGTTTTGGCTACACTCATGATTGCCAATAAAGTAACGGCGTCACTCATCAGCCCCTTTAACAACACTGCGTCACCCGGAAGAGTACACAACTTCATCACCTGTTCCAGACTCCATATGGTGGCTTTTAACTTATCTGCTTTATTTTCTTACTTTAGAATATCCATAGTTTAACTTCATTAGACTTCTACCAACCTGATAGGGAGTTAGAGGGACGGACCTGTGATATTTGCTCGGGTCAAACTGGGTAACATACACCCTACTCACGTGTGGCCGGAACGAGGAGGACTCGAACTCATGACGTATTAGCGAAAGATACGTTTATCACCGCTACCATTAATTTCAAAACCACCTCTGTTTCCCTTGCCACTCGTGTTGATCTGAGCGTTGTGGGCCTCAAGGAACATATTCAGACACTCCATTGTGATTGTAAGGGGGGGGGAGGAATTATTTTTGTTATCTGATTGAGTAATACATCTGTGTAAGAGGAGAGCCTTTTCTTATATATATATATATGTTGTTTTTTATGATTATTACTTCTATATCACTTTCTTTATTTTCTTTGTGATTTCTGTCTTTTCTGTTTACATATAACCTTTAATTTTCTTAGTTATATTATTTTCTATATTATTCTAAGACTTTATTACAGTTTGCGTATTAATTTATCTTCTATAATTTACCTTTCTTATGTACTTCCTAATTCTTTCTCAGTACAGTATTTCTTTCAATGGTTTTATTAGTTTATTATCTTTTCTCTTCCTTATGTCAATGTTTATCAGTACTTAGTTATATTGTATTCAGTGGATTAACCTGGGAAAACCATATCAGCAGTACGACGAAAACGATCAATGGCAACAATCGCCTTATGTATGATTCCCTGGGACACTCTGGTACTCCCTGGGACACACTGGTACTCCCTGGGATACTGGTACTTCCTGGGACACTCTGGTACTCCTTGGGACACTCTGGTGCTCCCTGGGACACTCTGGTACTCCCTGGGACACTCTGGGACACTGGTACACTCTGGTGCTCCTGGGACACTCTGGTACTCCCTGGGACACTGGTACTCCCTGGGACACTCTGGTACTCCCTGGGACATTCTGGGACATTCTGGTACTCCCTGGGACACTGTGTTAGTCCTTTGGTAAATTACTGGGCCACGGGTTAGACCTTGGCCGACCACATGGCCAAGGTAGGTAGGTTACTGGGCCATGGCAGAAGCTCATGGTTTTGGTCAAGTTGACCCCGAGCCCAACACCACCAGCCGCTCACAGGGTCAATAGTCACTCCAGGTTGACCTCTCAAGTGCCTGAAATGATAAGCAGGTCATCCGGGGTCAAACAGGTCATCTGGGGTCAAATACAGAAAACTGCTCAAAGTCAATCATGCATACCAGCAAATCCCTTACTATACAGATATATATTCAAGGATCTTCTCATACTCGGCTCAGATCTTCTCATACTCGGCTCAGATTTTTTCATACTCGGCTCAGATCTTCTCATACTCGGCTCAGATCATCTCATACACTTCTCATACTCGGCTCAGATTTTTTCATACTCGGCTCAGATCTTCTCATACTCGGCTCAGATCATCTCATACACGGCTCAGATCTTCTACTCGGCTCATTTCTCCTCATACTCGGCTCAGATCATCTCATACTCGGCTCAGATCTTCTCATACTTGACTTAAATCTTCTCATACTCGGCTCAGATCTTCTCATACTCGGCTCAGATCTCATACTCGGCTCAGATCTCATACTCGGCTCAGATCTTCTCATGCTCTGCTCAGATCTTATACTCTTCTCAGATGTCGACTGACCTGCCACAGCCCTTGCAGTATTTAAAGACCACGGGGGGGGGGGGGCTGTTGATTTGGCAGGAATACGGTCATTAGGTCAACTACCGTATCACCGTCCAAGTGTTTAAACAGTTTCATTTATATATAATTATATATAAAATTCACTATGTAGTAACTATCGCGTTTCTATTGATAATTTTACTATTTTTCTATTTATTTATTTTTTAAAATTTTCACTAATGAGGTTAATTAATGTTGTTTTACCGGGAGTTAAACAGGTGTAACAGCCATTAGCTGTCTGTCCACCTGTAGAATATACTCTACTGTACATATTTACACGTAGGAAAATATTACAATTCATTATACTAAATTTATAAAAACTTCAAAAACCAGATCATAATTGACTTTTTTTTTAAAGATTATGGATAATAATAATTCTCAGTATTGGAACCTCGTCTAAATTTGTCACGTTTCACACAAATACACAATTGAATCTATAGGTAACATTTACTCATAATAAACTCATTTCAACATCAATTAATCATCACAGACTCCAGTATTACATATTAATATAATTTTATTTAGGTGGTCATAGATGATTATTTAAAATAATTTACAGATGAAACGTAAAACATAAGTAGGTGAGCGCCATCTATGAGTTAAAAGCGTAACTAAATATCTTCATCACAGGGATGCAATGAGAGTTTCCCGTCTGAGTATTATGGAACTACGCCATCAGCCAGACCAACACGAGACAGGTGACGAAGATGGAGGGTCGGAGGTGCTGCCACGACCCCCAGCCCTGGAAAATAATCCCCATGAGGTAAGACCTTTATTACTATTATTAGATCATAAATATAACCTTAATGATAGTTAGTAGCTGTTGCTGTATTATTATAACGAGAGATAGAGTATTTAAGGGTTAATTAAGGTCATTGTGTTGGGTCATCACTTTGTTGACATTATATGAAATTAACGTTGAAATTATGTTTTTTTTTGTGTTGTGAGCGAATTTGGGTTAATTTAGGTGAGTAGCCACGTTTAGGTTAGGTTCGTGTAGGTTAGGTTCGTGTAGGTTAGGTTAGGTTAGGTTCAGGTAGGTTAGGTTTCAGGTAGGTTAGGTTTCAGGTAGGTTAGGTTAGGTTAGGTTTTTGTGTGTTCATCCCAAAATGTTAGGTTGGCAAGTACAGGACAAGTACTGGCTCTGTTGACAAGTGCTGTATTGTTGCTGTTAATCACACATACGGGCAAAAATCGTCTTGTGTGATTAATGGCAACAGAACAACGAATACAATTAATGGCAACAATCCCCTTATGTATGGTTAATGGCAGCAGGTGTGGTGATCGTCTTTGAGGGGTGGTGTGGTGAGGTGTGGTGTGGTGGTCGTCTTGGTGGTGTGGTGATGTGTGGTATGGTGGTCGTCTTGGTGGTGTGGTGTGATGACCGTCTTGGTGGTGTGGTGTGGTGGTCGTCTTGGTGGTGTGGTGATGTGTGGTATGGTGGTCGTCTTGGTGGTGAGGTGTGGTGTGGTGGTCGTCTTGGTGGCGAGGTGTGGTGTGGTGGTGTCTTGGTGGAGGTGAGGTGTGGTTGTCGTCTTGGTGGTGTGGTGGTCGTCTTGGTGGTGATGTGTGGCGTGGTTGTCGTCTTGGTGGTGTGGTGGTCGTCTTGGTGGTGTGGTGTGGTGACCATCTTTGTGGTGTGGTGACCGTCTTGGTGGTGTGGTGGCCGACTTGGTGGTGTGGTGAGGTGGCCGTTTTGGTGGTGTGGTGTGGTGACCGTCTTGGTTGTGTGGTGGCCCTCTTGGTGGTGTGGTGAGGTGGCCGTTTTGGTGGTGTGGTGACCGTCTTGATTGTGTGGTGTGGTGGCCGTCTTGGTTGTGTGGTGGCCCTCTTGGTGGTGTGGTGGTGGCCGTTTTGGTGTGGTGGGGGTGGTGATGACCGTCTTGGTGGTGTGGTGAGGTGGCCGTTTTGGTGGTGTGGTGTGATGACCGTCTTGGTTGTGTGGCCCTCTTGGTGGTGTGGTGAGGTGGCCGTTTTGGTGTGTGATGACCGTCTTGGTTGTGTGGTGGCCGTTTTGGTGGTGTGATGACCGTCTTGATTGTGTGGTGGCCTCTTGGTGGTGTGGTGGGTGGCCGTTTGGTGGTGTGATGACCGTCTTGATTGTGTGGTGGCCGTTTTGGTGGTGTGATGACCGTCTTGATTGTGTGGTGCCGTCTTGATTGTGGTGGCCGTCTTGGTGGTGTGGTGTGGCCGTTTTGGTGGTGTGGTGTGATGACCGTCTTGGTGGTGTGGTGAGGTGGCCGTTTTGGTGGTGTGGTGTGATGACCGTCTTGGTTGTGTGGTGGCCCTCTTGGTGGTGTGGTGGGTGGCCGTTTTGGTGGTGTGATGACCGTCTTGATTGTGTGGTGGCCGTTTTGGTGGTGTGATGACCGTCTTGATTGTGTGGTGGCCGTCTTGATTGTGGTGGCGTCTTGGTGGTGTGAGGTGGCCGTTTTGGTGGTGTGGTGTGATGACCGTCTTGGTTGTGGTGGCCCTCTTGGTGGTGTGGTGAGGTGGCCGTTTTGGTGGTGTGATAACCGTCTTGATTGTGTGGTGTCTTGATTGTGGTGGCCGTCTTGGTGGTGTGGTGAGGTGGCCGTTTTGGTGGCGTGATGACCGTCTTGGTTGTGTGGTGGCCGTCTTGGTGGTGTGGTGGCCGTCTTGGTGGTGTGGTGGCCGTCTTGGTGATGTGGTGGCCGTCTTGGTGGTGTGGTGAGGTGGCCGTCTTGGTGATGTGGTGTGGTGGCCGTCTTGGTGGTGTGGTGAGGTTGCCGTCTTGGTGGTGTGGTGAGGTGTGGTGTGGTGGCCGTCTTGGTGGTGTGGTGAGGTGTGGTGTGGTGGCCGTCTTGGAAGGAGGAAGTGAAGACTGGCGTCACTGTGGGGGGCGGAGCCTCACCCTCCCCTGCCTTACATAATTGGCCAAGACACAAAGGACGTGGTGACGTAGAAATTATCCACCCAATCGGAAAGTAGTTCAACACACAAGATAGTGAATAATTCAGCGTGTGGTTGGCTAATTCGAGCTTGCTCGGAAGCTCCCATAGGCGGGGCAATGAACAGGCTACCAATCGGGGACGCGCAAACGCAGAAGAGGCCCCGCCTATCCCTGGTGGGGACTCCGCCTACTAGAGCCGTGAGTTCAATCACCATATTTTATTCCCGGTGGCGAGTAGGTCGTCCAAATCGGGTGGACTGTGGATTAGTGCACGCGGGCCGGCACGGCGGGTCTGTCTAATTAAGTGGCCAGGAGATTAGCGCCACCAACACCGCTTTTTGTGCCGCCACTGCCCCGAGGTAGGTGTCCAGTGGTGGTAGGGCGCCCCGCCCGCACGCCCGCGCCCACCATTGTCTTGTGCTAACACTCTAGGATATTACAGCCGCGCCTCCCTATGTTCATCACGCCAACCACCACCTTCAGGGTGCTCACGCCCCTACCGGCACCCACAGGGAACTTGGGAAAGCGGGCAATCCCGCCCGCACGCCCACGTCTATGATTTTCTTGTGCTTTCATTAGAACACCGTCTTTACCTCACGCCCACGCCAAGGCATCACCACGCCCCTGAGTCCACGGAGCTTCACCCAAGGGACCGTGGTGCGGCCCTCAGTGACCAGGCCGCCCACAAGGTACTGGCCACACTACCATCTGGCCACCATCTGAGTGGCCCATACCACCTTTTCCGCCCAACTCACACTACATGTGGGTGGTGGTGGTTGTAGTGGGCGGCAAGTGTGGAGGTTGTAGTGGGCGGCAAGTGTAGTAGTTGTAGTGGGCGGCAAGTGTGGTGGTTGTAGTGGGCGGCAAGTATGGTAGTTGTAGTGGTCGGCAAGTGTAGTAGTTGTAGTGGGCGGCAAGTGTGGTGGTTGTAGTGGGCGGCAAGTGTGGTGGATGTAGTGGGCGGTCAGTGTGGTAGTAGGCGACAAGTGTGGTAGTTGTAGTGGGCGGCAAGTGTGGTGGTTGTAGTGGGCGCCAAGTGTAGTAGTTGTAGTGGGCGGCAAGTGTGGTGGATGTAGTGGGCGGCAAGTGTGGTAGTTGTAGTGGGCTCCAAGTGTAGTAGTTGTAGTGGACGGCAAAGTGTGGTGGATGGAGTGGGCGGTCAGTGTAGTAGTTGTAGTGGGCGGCAAGTGTGGTAGTTGTAGAGGCGCCAAGTGTAGTAGTTGTAATGGGCGACAAGTGTGGTGGATGTAGTGGGCGGTCAGTGTAGTAGTTGTAGTGGGCGGCAAGTGTGTTGTAGTGTGTAGTGGTAGTGTAGTAGTTGTAGTGGGCGGCAAGTGTGGTGGTTGTAGTGGGCGGCAAGTGTGGTAGTTGTAGTGGGCGACAAGTGTAGTAGTTGTAGTGGGCGGCAAGTGTGGTGGTTGTAGTGGGCGGCAAGTGTGGTGGTTGTAGTGGGCGGCAAGTGTAGTAGTTGTAGTGGGCGGCAAGTGTGGTGGAGTGTGGTAGTTGTAGTGGGCGACAAGTGTGGAGGTTGTAGTGGGCGGCAAGTGTGGTAGTTGTGGGCGACAAGTGTGGAGGTTGTAGTGGGCGGCAAGTGTAGTAGTTGTAGTGGGCAGGTGTGGTGGATGTAGTGGGCGGCAAGTGTGGTAGTTGTAGTGGGCGACAAGTGTGGAGGGTGGGCGGCAAGTGTGGTAGTTGTAGTGGGCGGCAAGTGTGGTAGTTGTAGTGGGCGTGTGGTAGTTGTAGTGGGCAAGTGTGGTGGATGTAGTGGGCGGCAAGTGTGGTGGATTTAGTGGGCGGCAAGTGTGGTGGTTGTAGTGGGCGGTAAGTGTGGAGGTTGTGGGCGGCAAGTGTGGTAGTTGTAGTGGGCGGCAAGTGTGGTGGATGTAGTGGGCGGCAAGTGTGGTGGATGTAGTGGGCGGTCAGTGTGGAGGATGTAGTGGGCGGTCAGTGTGGTGGTTGTAGTGGGCGGTCAGTGTGGTAGTGGGCGACAAGTGTGGTGGTTGTACTGGGCGGCAAGAGTGGTGGATGTAGTGGGCGGTCAGTGTGGTGGTTGTAGTGGGCGGCAAGTGTGGTGGTTGTAGTGGGCTGCAAGTGTGGTGGATGTAGTGGGCGGTCAGTGTGGTGGTTGTAGTGGGCGGTCAGTGTGGTAGTGGGCGACAAGTGTGGTAGTTGTAGTGGGCGGCAAGTGTGGTGGTTGTAGTGGGCGGCAAGTGAGGTGTTTGTAGTGGGCGACTAGTGAGGTGGTTGTAGTGGGCGGTCAATGTGGTAGTTGTAGTGGGCGGCCAGTGTGGTAGTTGTAGTAGGCGGTCAGTGTTGCGGTTGTAGTGGGTGACAAGTGTGGTGGTTGTGGGCGGCCAGTGTGGTAGTGTAGTGGGCGGCCAGTGTGGTAATTGTAGTGGGCGGCAAGTGGGGTGGTTGTAGTGGGCGGCAAGTGTGGTAAGTGTAGGGGCGGCAAGTGAGTGGTTGTAGTGGGCGGTGTGTAATTGTAGTGGGCGGCCAGTGTGGTAATTGTAGTGGGCAGCCAGTGTGGAATGTAGTGGGCGGCAAGTGTGGTAGTTGTAGGGCGTGGTGGTTGTAGTGGGCGGTAAGTGTGGTAGTTGTAGTGGGCGGCAAGTGTGGTGGTTGTTGTAGGCGGCAAGTGTGGTGGTTGTAGTGGGCGGCAAGTGTGGTGGTTGTGTGGGCGGCAAGTGTGGTGGTTGTAGTGGGCGGCAAGTGTGGTGGTTGTTGTAGTGTGGTGGTTGTTGTAGGCGACAAGTGTGGTGGTTGTTGTGGGCGGCAAGTGTGGTGGTTGTAGTGGGCGGCAAGTGTGGTGGTTGTTGTAGGCGACAAGTGTGGTGGTTGTTGTGGGCGGCTAGTATGGTGGTTGTAGTGGGCGGCAAGTGTGGTGGTTGTTGTAGGCGGCAAGTGTGGTGGTTGTTGTAGGCGACAAGTGTGGTGGTTGTAGGCGACAAGTGTGGTGGTTGTTGTGGGCAGCAAGTATGGTGGTTGTAGTGGGCGGCAAGTGTGGTGGTTGTTGTAGGCGACAAGTGTGGTGGTTGTTGTGGGCGGCAAGTGTGGGAGATGAGCCTATTGGGTATCATATTTAGTATCGGTTGTTGTGGGCGGCTACAGTCTATGTAATCGGATACAGGTAGCTGTGTGTGTGTGTGTGTGTGTGTGTGTGTTAAAAAATTCCCCTCTTGTAAACTTCAGATGAAACTCTTACCTGCAAATATCACCTGTAGCTCTTAATTAAACTTACCTGTACAATACATAACCCTTTTAACATCACATTTAACCTATTATACCTGTAAATTCTGAAAAGTAAAAACATTACCTGGTGACGATTGGCGAATAATTAGTAAGAGTATTTATCGATGGGGTCGTCAGAAAGTACACATATGGTTCTTCAAATCGTTATAACTTTCCAACTTTTTGACCAATTTTTATGAATCTTGGTCAGCATATTCCTGGAGGGTTGATCTAAGCGTGGGCTAAATTTGGAGTGACTGGTGTCCTTGTATGACCTCTGTATGTGACCTCAAATTTGGTGGACATGTTAGTGGTGAGATGTTTTGAGGTGATTGTTTTGGTCATGGGTGTGGTGTGATGGGGAGGAAGGAGGAGGAATAATAAGAAGAGGAGGAGGAGGAAATGAAAGGAGGATGAGTAGGAAGAAGAAAAAGAGGAGGAGGAGGAAGAATAAGAGGAGGAGGAGGAGGAATAAGAAGAAAGAATAGATAACCAACATCAATAAACACCAAAACATGAAAAAAATACTAAATTAAACCTTGACTACAGAACACGGTTTAAAAAGTGCATTAAGTAGCTATAATGTTTAATCGACATATACATAAACAAAATTGCGTCAGTTTATGTATGGAATGCGTTAAAACTGATTCGTAATTGCGTTAAATAGGCCTTAGGATTACATAAAAAATATAGGTTTGCGTTTAATAATATACCGGTATATAGGCTTCACGTTGGTAATATAGTGTAGACGTATAATGATGGGTTCAGCTATTGGCTCGCGTTAAGGTCCTATGAAGAATTGCGTCATGATTCAGTATAATGCGTTAAGGCTACAGCGTTGAATTGTCCTGTGATTTCCTGGAATTCCTAATCGCTGTTGAATGATTATTACTATTATTAGTGTCATTATTTATTATTATTGTTTTTGTTATTTGTATTATTATAGTTATTTCTATAGTTAATTTTGTTATTGTTTTTTTTCCATCCTTTTTATCGATTTACTTTTATTGTTATTTTTTCAATAACTATTATTTTTATCATCAAATGTCTTTTTTTTTAAGAATTACGTAAACATGATTTTTGTTAAAGAATATTTTATCACAAACTCAAGAATATAATTGATTCAGTTGCGTCAATTATCTTTTTATGATGTCAAATTAGATTTTAGAAGATGCATATACCCTGTATACGCCTTTGATATACAGTATATACGCCCGCCTTTACGCAATTGGGATAGCTTCATTGGTCGTATCTTGGGTATTTAGCGAGGTCAGGTCAGGTCAGGTGGTGGTAGATGGGTAGGAAGTATAGAAGTGGTTGTGGTAGGCGGTTGTGGTGGTGGGTGGCTAGTATAGTAGTGGTTGTAATGGGTTGCGCAGGTTGGTAGTCGTGGTGGGTGACAGTAGTAATGGTTGTGGTGGGTGGTAGTAGTGGTGGTTGTGATGGTGGTAGTACTGTATAGTGGGCAACCCAAAGCTTTCAAGATCTTATAAAAAAAATCATGAAACTCCCAGACTTTCCTTGGTGGCTGATGACGTCACAGGGGGTATTAGGTGACGGGGGAGCACTTTAAAGGCCTCAAGTGATGGTGTATTATAAGTGTGACAGGTATACAATATAAGGGTCAGGTGTAGAGTATAAGTGTGACAGGTGTAAAATATAAGGGACAGATGTACAGTGTAAGTGGGACAGGTGTAGAATATTAGTGTAACAGATGTACACTAAAAGAGACAGGCATACAGTATAAGTGTGACAGGTGTAAAATATAAGGGACAGATGTACAGTATAAGTGTTGACAGGTGCACAGCATAAGTGACCGGTGAGCCTCATGAGTGTGACGTGTATATAGTGACAGGTGTACCTAATTAGTGGAATCCATTTTGTCACCTTATATTCTCGTGCCGTGGTTTAAATTGGTCATGTTTGTTATATTCCGTGCATGAGCTTTTTAACCCCAGAGCCGAGAGCAGAGTTTAAGGGTGGCGCTATGATTGGTCCATATATTATTTATGTAATTTTTTTTACGAGGATTAAACCCACCCGGGCACAGGTCACTGACCCACATCGGGCCCTGGGGGGCGAAAATGTAATATATATATATATATATATATATATATATATATATATA